CCGTCCTCGTGCTCTCCCTCCTCCTGCTCCCCGTCCTCCTGCTCCCCGTCCTCCCGCTCCCGTCCTCCTGCTCTCCGTCCTCCTGCTCCCTGTCCTCCTGCTCCCCGTCCTCCTGCTCCCCGTCCTCCTGCTCCCCATCCTCCTACTCCCCGTCCTCCTGCTCCCCGAGCTGCTGTGTTCCTCTCCTGGCTCTGCCTCCTGCCCTGCCCCACATGCAGCTCCCTTCTGTCTGGCTCCTGTTCTCTCTGTCCGTTCCCCTCCCTGCCTCTCTCTCTGCCTGGCTACTTTGCTCCCTCTCTCCCTCCGTGTCACCATCTCTGTCCCTCTGTCTATCGCTCTTGGCATTCTAGAGGAGGACCCTTCCGAGGACGACTCCATCAAGGACTCTCTGGGCACAGAGCCATCCTACCCCTCCCCTCAGCAGCTGCCACCTCCACCAGGACCTGAAGACCCAATGTCCCCCAGCCCTGGGCAGGCCCTGCTGGGCCCCAGCCTGGGACCTGATGGCCCGCGGACTTTCTCGCTGTCCCCATTCCCCAGCCTGGCCTCAGGGGAAAGACTGGCTGGGGACACATTGCTCTCCAAGCACATGATGCCCCCGGCCCCCTTCAAGGGAGAGGCAGGTGGCTTGCTGGTGTTCCCTCCAAGCTTCTATAACACCAAGCCCCCCACGGCCCCAGCCACCCCAGCCCCTGCCCCTGAGCCCCCAGGGAGCCTCGAGCCTGCCGATGGTGGCGGGGGCAGTGTGGCAGGCACCGGGGCAGAGGAGGAACAGCTGGACACAGCGGAGATAGCCTTCCAGGTGAAGGAGCAGCTGCTCAAGCACAACATCGGGCAGCGGGTGTTCGGCCACTATGTGCTAGGGCTGTCCCAGGGCTCCGTCAGCGAGATCCTGGCCCGGCCCAAGCCCTGGCGCAAGCTCACAGTGAAGGGCAAGGAGCCCTTCCTCAAGATGAAGCAGTTTCTGTCAGATGAACAGAATGTGTTGGCCCTGAGGACCATCCAGGTGCGGCAGCGAGGTGAGCACAGCCCGCACATCTTGGCCAGGCCCAGGCACAGGGCTGGTCCAAAAGCCCACTCTCTGCCTCCCTGCTGTGTGACCCGAGGCAGGTGATTTCGCCTCTCTGTGCCTCAGTTTAGTCCTCTGCTAAAACAGAAAACACCCTCACGCCCTCCGTCCTGGGGTCTGTCCTGGTGGGGACCCCTCCAACCCTCAGTTTACCCATCTGTGAGATGGCCTGGGTGGACGCCATCCTTGCCAGAGTGGATTTTTAGGTTCCTTGATGTGCAGGACCTGGCTCTACCTCACAGACACCAGGTTTGGATCCTGGCTCAGCCACAGCCACTGGCTGGCCACTCAGCTCCCCCAACTGCCCTGGGCCTCGGTTCCCCAGCCGTCAGCCTCCTGGAAAGTCCTGGGGATTTCAGGGGCATAAAGCACTGACCACTGAACCTGGCACCTGGTGACTGCTCCCAGCGCCAGCTGCGGCAGTTGTCGTCACTGTTGTCGCCATGTGTGCTTTATTCATCATGTTTCAAGCCAGAGCAGCCGAACATCCACATTTCACCACACAGACCATACGGCAGCCCTGTGCCCGCAGGGCAGCCCAGCCCCTGCTCCTGGGCCCTGGACTCCCATGCGAACCCCACCACAGATGCCTTTTGCCTCCCCCAGGTAGCATCACCCCACGAATCCGCACACCTGAGACGGGCTCGGACGATGCCATCAAGAGCATCCTGGAGCAGGCCAAGAAGGAGATCGAGTCCCAGAAAGGGGGTGAGTAGACTCTGCCGGCTATGGGGAGGCCTCCAGGGCTGCCTTGAGCAGCGGGCTGTTCCCCAGGGGGTTCCAAGGGGTCTGAACCTCCCAGACCAGAGGGATCTTTTTAGAGCACATTTGTGGTCATGTCAGTGCTCAGGTCTCTCCACGGCTCCCTGCTACCCTGGATATCAAATCCCAGCCCCTCAATAAGACTCCAGGCCCTACATCTTCAGACTCCCCCTGGGCCCTCCACACCTCTCACGGTCATGGTCTCACCCAGGTCCCTCTCACAGTCTCTCATTTTAATTATTACATCTCTCGTTGCAATTCTATGCTTCTGGTATGGCTGTCCCTTCCACTGGTCTGGGGGCTTTGTGCAACCGGGGACCAGTTTACACCCCCACCCCCACCCCCATTTGATCCTGGAGCTCAGTGCAGTGTGGACCACAGCTACTTGAACCAGGATTGCTCTGCTCTTCATTTTGCAGGGTCAGCTGCCCCCTGGTGGCTCCTCAGAGCAGGCATCCCAATCTCCAAGCCGCCTGTGGCTGAGAGCAAAGGAGTTTCCCCAGGTCCTGCCCCCTCCCGCTTCCTGGAGAAACAAAAGGAGAAGGGCTTGAGCTGGGGGAACCTGTGCTGCCCCGCCCTAGGATCCCCTGAGCCCCTACACTATGCATTTTCTTCTCTGTACACTGCGGTTTCTTCTGTGTCAGCTTCGGTATCAAGAGATGCAAGATAGGGAAGTAAGCAGTAAACGCATCCAGCGTTAGACCTAGGTTAGGACCTGGGTGAGACTTGTCAGCGGAGCGAGGAGAACTGCCGAGAAGCAAGCTCATGTCGGGCTGGGGTGAAGCTCAGCAGGGAGCAGCTGCCTGTGTGCATGAGGCTCTGGGGAAATGTAAATGGCAGCCTCACAACAGAGGAAAAGTCTGCCCTAGTGGGCCAGCCGGAGGGCTTTACATTCAGGGTCTACACAGGACTCTGAAGAAAATTCCCAAGGTCGCCACCAAGCCCCTGACCAAGCGAGTGCAAAGCAGAGAGTACACCAGCCTCTGCCCCAAGGAAAGGACCGTGGCTGCCTGTCAGCCCAGGGTTTGTACTTCAGGGAACCAAAGGAAAGTCCATAATGGGGACAGAGATTTACGTACAAGCCGTTGCTCTATCCTTCTTTACTAGAGTGGCAAACTGGAAACAACCTAAGTGCCCAGCAGTGCAGATAATATCCCATCAATGGCACATGCAGCCGTTAAAGACAGAAAATTTTTTTTTCCCTGTGGTTCTGGGCGTTGAACCCAGGGGCTCTCTACCCCTGAACTATACTCCCAGCCCTTTTAATTTTTAATTCTGAGCTAGGGTCTCACTAAGTTGCCTAGGCTGGTATGGAGCTTGGGATCTTTAGCCTCCAGAATCACTGGAAGAATTTTTTTTTTTTTATTGTCAACGACATTTATTTTACTTTTTTATATGCGGCGCTGAGAATTGAACCCAGTCCCTCACACATGCAAGCACTCTACCACTGAGCTGTAACCCCAGCCCTGGGAAGAACTGTTAATGATAAGAAAAATCATTCATGTTGATACTGAGTAGAGACAAGCCAGGCTCTATCCCACCTAGCAAGGATGATCCTTCAGTGCCCGTAGCATGGAAATCAGACTCAGAAGAAATAAAGAGCACGTCTCATGTAGCAGCCTCTGGACAGAGAGAAGGGGATTTTTTTTTTTTTAACAAACTCTGCAGAACACTTTTTTTTTTTTAAAGAGAGAGTGAGAGAGAATTTTTTAATATTTTATTTTTTAGCTTTCAGTAGACACAACATCTTTGTTTGTATGTGGTGTTGAGGATCGAACCCGGGCCGCACGCATGCCAGGCGAGCGCGCTACCACTTGAGCCACATCCCCAGCCCGAGAAGGGGATTTTTTTCTCCCTACGTTCTGCGCTTTTTGTGACCTTTTTAAAAATTGAGGTAAAAATTACATACTATAAAAACAATTTAAAGTGCGTGATTCAGTAATGTTTAGTACATTTGTCCTGCTATGCAGTGATCATCTCCACCTAATTACAGACACTCATCGCCCCAAAGGACACCTCATGCCCATTAGGCTGTGGATCCCATCCCACTCCCAGGGCCCTCTGCAGCCCTGGTCTGCGCTCTGCGCGAGTGGATTTGCCTGTCATGGACACACCGTGTAGGTTAACTCATCCAACAGGTGGCCCTCTGTGTCCAGAGTCTCTCACGTCACATCATGCTTTCAAGGTTTCTCCAGGTTGGAGCAGTGCTCTGTGCTGTGCTCCTTTCTATGACTAAATAATAAGACTGATACTTTATTGCTGGATTACTTTTTAAATTGGAAAAGCAATAAAAATTATTTGAATGGGTCTGTGGGGATCCCTCAGGATGGAGCCTGCACAGAGAGAGGATAGAGAAAGGTCGCGCTGCCCCAGCCCAGGCAGGGGTGGGGGGCCCAGCACTGGAGAGGCTGCCCGAGAGCAGAGGATGCACCTATCTGTCTGCTGGTTAACTGTCACCCTCAGGGTTAAGTCACAGATCAGTCTGTCCCTGGTGTATGACAAATTCTCATGGAAGCTCCTGGAGAGGCCTTCCCCTGAATGTGTATTTGTATATACACCCACCCACCCACTCACCCACTTACTCACTCACCCACCCACTCACTCACTTACCCACTCACTAACTCACCCACTCACTCATTCAGTCACTCATTCACCCAGTCACCCACCTACTCACCCACTCACTCACCCACTCACTCACCCACCCGCTCACCCACCAACTCACCCACTCACTCACCCACCCACCCACTCACTCACCCACCCACCCACTCAC